AAAATTAAACTAAACACAACCAACCATACAATAATCTCTATACAATTTAAAAGTGTAAATACCCCACTACTCTCAGCCATTAGACTCCACAAAAATCTTATGACCCTGCATTCAGACTCAAAACTGCACTTGGATAAAAACTGTTCTTAAATCTGGTCGTCCTTGTTCTTAATACCCTAAATCTCCTTCTCGATGGTAATAGTTCAAAGAGCTGATGTCCCGGATGAGAGGAGTCATTCAATATGTTAAGTATCTTCCTCTTACATCTATTCCTATACAGTTCTTCCAAAGAGGGGAGTGAGCAGCCAATGATGTTTTGGGCCGTCTTGATCACCCTCTGAATTGCCTTTTTCTCTGCCACTGTGCAGCTCGAGAACCATACACAGAGACAGTAGGATAGTATACTCTCAATTGAACTCCGATAGAAGGTAGTCAGTAGACTCTCAGCCAGTTGTTGTTTCCTAAGAATCCTTAGTAAATACAACCGTTGTTGTGCCTTCTTAATTAAAGCAGAGGTGTTTGCACTCCAGGTCAGGTCATTTGTAATGATGGTCCCGAGAAACTTACATTCAACCACCTGTTCCACACGAATTCCCTCTATATACAGTGGCTGAATGTCTGTTCTTTTTTTCCTATAGTCCACTATAACCTCCTTAGTCTTCTTAATATTAAATAGAAGATTATTATTTTTGCACCAGCGGGATAGCTGTAATACCTCATCCCGATATGCAGACTCATCATCCCCAGAAATAAGTCCTACAAGCGTAGTATCGTCTGCAAATTTCATTATCCTATTGTTGGGATGTTTATTTGTGCAATCAGATGAATAGATGGAGAACAGTAGTGGACTAAGGACACAACCTTGTGGAGTGCCAATGCTAAGTGTCTTGACAGTAGAAGTATAATCATTCAGTTTAACTCTTTGTGGACGATTTGTTAAAAAATCCAATATCCATAAACAAATAGAATCTGGAAAATCTAGATCTTTGAGCTTGGCTATTAATCTGTGCGGTATGATGGTATTGAAAGCAGAACTAAAATCTGCGAACAACATTCTTACATAATTCCCCGGTGTTTCCAAATGGGATAATTGCCTCCCAAAGTTGTGTGTTGTCCAACATGAAAGGTTTTTAAGAAGACATTGGACAACTAAGTAGTATAAGGTTTCCTGCTTGAGCAAAGGGTTGGATTAGAAGACTTCCGTGGTCCCTTATAACTCTTGTTATTGTAATTCTATTCTGTATGATCTCAAACTTATAAACACATAAATAATGAAGATTCAAAGCTTCATAAGATCCATAATTAACTTCACTTTGACATATATTTTCTTCTTTGTGGACTCTCTTTTACATTACAAAGGAGACTTCCCATCACACATTAACCACAGCCTTTGGCAGCTCAGTTATAGACAAGAGTGTTCTTTATTCCTCTTTTTCTTTTTTATTGGTTTATCTTTTGCTAAAGGAAAAATCAAAGTCTTGAGAGGCAAATGATATGATATGCATTTAATGTGACTGGTTTAAATAGCCACATGATAGCTTGATCAGGATTCTGGCATAAGTAAATAATATTTTAAAACTGTTTTATACTCCTTAAGTTTCAATTTCTCCCAAGGAAGAACACTGCTAGTGATGCCTCTGACAGCTTCCCATCCCTCTCCCAGTCTGGGAAAAACAGAACACATCTGAAGAATAATCTATTTGGCTTGGTATTTACTGAGAACATGCCACAAATGGGAAAAGATAGTGGTAAGCAAAGCCTCACACCTGTCTTCATAGCAGTAGGGAGTAATTAGCTTGGTTTGCATTTTAATCTGAACATATGTAAATAGCAGCTTACATTTCTCGAATGTACATGGCTGGAAAGCCAATAATAATAATAATCTAGCTGTGGTTTTCAACTGATTCTACTCTGGTAATTTGGCAACATTATAGGCCATAAATGTCCAATTTTCTCTCATTCAAAATAAAAATGCAACAGCACCATGACAACTCTTCCTTTTAGGGTTCGATTAAATCACATTATTTGGAAAAGGCTGTTTATCTAATATGATTAACTAATGTACTAGAATCTGGCTCAGAATGTAAAACATATAATGCTTCTGAAGAGTTAAAAATCTCACTTCAAAATTTTCTGATATTTCCTGTTTTCAAGTTTTCACATACATTTATCACTGTCAATGACCTGCCGAGAAACTCACAAGAATAGCAATAATAACGGAACATTTCTACCTCAGCAAAAATTTGGAACCTTATTTTTTTTTTTTACTCAAGAGATCAACTATTTCTTTTCTTACATCTTATTTTAAGTATGCATTTTAATTATTCTTCCTATTAAATTTGCACTGATAGAACTTCCCTTTCCATTAAAATGCAGCAACTGATCTAAGTAATCAGAAATATTCCTTTGATTTTGTTTTTAGTGTTAGGTTTGAACTTCAAAACCAAAATAGCATTTTTAAAAATCCTTTGCTTTATTCATGACTTCAGGCTTTCTCCAGTGTATGAAGAGCTACTGTGAATTTGGAACCCTAAAAGTCTATACATACTTTTTAAAACGATTTAAAGCAGAAAATATTTAGTTGTACAATATTTTGTTATTTGTTGGTTGTTTTTCCATTTTTATAGTGGCCTCACATAAGATGTAGAAATGATGGAATCAGAAAAATCATCAAAACATTTTAATTGACCAAAATGTGGCCCATACGATTTGACAGCTTCAGAAACACCTAAAACACTTGGGTGTTTAAAAGGAACTATATTTAAAGCAAAACCAACAATTTATTTTTGATCAGAAATTTAAATATATGATTATCATTAATATTATCATGTGTATAACAAGGCATTTGCAATAAATATCCAGTTTTGGAAAATCAATAAAAGTTTAAATAAGTATTTCTTATGATTTAACAACAACATTAATCTGCCTGAAAATGTTTTCAGTCTACTGCAGGGATGTCAAACTGGCAGCCCACGGACCGCATGTGCCACGCCCACCCGATATCCACAAATGGAAAAAATGTCACAAAATGTCATGCACTTGATGCTCAGAGTTTAACACCCGTGGTCTACTATATATCCCAAATAATGCTTAAAAAAGAATGCACATTAGATTTTCTGTGATGGAGCTGTAAGAAATTTGAGGGCTCTTTTAATTTATATGATTTGTTCATTTTTCTTATGCTCCATACTGCTTTAGGAGCTCAAATTATATTAAATTACCAAACAACCAAATGAAACTTTTTGCTGCAGTTGATGTGGGAAAACCTGGAAAAAAGAGAATTACATATCTCGCCTTAAAATCTTAGAGGGAACTTATCATACAGAATGAGAAAAAAGTATACATGGTATACTTATATATAAGCGTAATATAAAGAAATCAGATATCACAATGAATATGCACCTTATAATCATATTAATATTTGTCCAACAAATAAAATGTCTTTATAGTCATAGTTATATAAAATGAAAGGTACAAAGTATGAGAAAATATTTATTTCATATTTCTATTTTTCAGGCAGTATCCAATACTCTGTATGTAGATTATCTCTGCTTTCAAAAGTGATTCTGTTTTCAATACACAAAATAATTCATTACATTTTTTTAGATTTAGCTTGTTATCTACCTCATTTTGTATTTTATGTACAACAGTGAATCTGAAAAAGTGTATAAACTTTTTTAAAATAGAAAAGTAGTTCCAAAAGCCTAGTTTATAAGGAATTCTGTCTTCCTTGCCCCCCCTTTTTTTACCCCCCCCCCCAAATCCAATGGAACAACAATAGCAGGTGTTTCTGCCATATTTTATTTCAGGCAGTTCTTAATTATGTTAATTCAGAGATATTGCAGCTAGGGTAAAAGCTAGACTGAGCTACATAAAAACATTTCTCATCAATCACCTTTTCCAACCTTCCTACTGGTAGCAACATTAAATAGTATCTTCTGGGAAGATTGCAAAGATACAGGAGTTCAGATTTTGAACTCATAATGGCTAAGCAAGAATAATTATACCTTAAAGAGTAGGCAGCATTGTATTAAAAACTATTTATTATATCAATAAGTATAACAAGTTAAAAATACTGGATCTGACTGGAATTATTAACAGCATGCTTTGGGATTAAAAAGAAAGCAGTAATTAAAAAAAAACTATTAATCAAAACTCAAAGAATAGAAGCTGCTTCTATATTTAAGTGAGGCTAAAACATATGAAGAACAGTTGCAGGAGTTGGGTATGTCTAGTGAAAAGAAGGACTAAGGGTGCAGTCTTCCAATATTTGAGGGGCTACTACAAAGAAGAAGGGGTGTCAGCCTATTTTCCAAAGTACCAGAACGCAAGACAAGAAGCAATGGATAGAAACTAATCAAGGAGAGAAGCAACTTAGAACTAAGGAGAAACTTCTTAACGCTGAGAACAATTAACCAGTGGAATGGCTTGCTTCAAAAGTTGTGGGGCTTTCAAGAAGAGACTGGATAGCCATTTGTCTGAAATGATATAGGATCTCCAGTTCGAGCTGGGGATTGGATTAGATGACTTCCAAAGTCCCTTCAAACTGTTATTCTATGAATAATTATACTTTCAAGAGTGGGCAGCGTATAGTAGAAACAATAAGTACAATAAGTTAAAAATATTGGATCTGACTGGAAGTATTAATAGGATACTCTGGGATTTAAAAAGAGCAGTAATTAAAAATTTATCAAACCTCAAAGAATTATTATAGAAGCTGCTTCTGTATTTAAGGGAGTGAAGCAATTTTCAGCCCTGTCACAGTTCTCATTTTCAAATTTCTTTCAACTCCTCTTCTGCAGTTTTGGAAATTTCTGTTAAATAGTTTTCAATAAGCAAAACTTCCAACTCTCAGATAGCTGAAAATCTGTATGCACACCGAGTGATCTTTCTGCATGCAGATAAGACTCTAGGGTACGTGTTTGAATGGGTAGTAGGCTTTATAAGTGTACCTTCTAAAAATATTGAAAGCAAAACGGGTTGTTCAGCATAATTCCTACCTTCACTTTGATCACGGAAGAAAACATTCTAGCATCTTCAGAGACACCTCCTATATAATTTTTTTTTGTGAAAATAGGGGCATGATCATTTTCATCCTGAACCTCAATGAATATCTTTGCAGTATTGCCTAAAAGTAAAAAAAACAAGGGTTAGCAAAATTAAAATACACTGAATGCCTTAAGTCATAAGCATGTCTCTTCTAGATGCTGTTAGAAAAGCTTAAAGAAAATTGCTGCATATTTACATTTTTAGGAACCATAAATAATTAATTCATGGTTTTATTCTAAAGTTTCTGAAGAAACTAAGTTTATATTTTGTTGCATATTTACATTTTTAGGAACCATAAATTATTAGTTATGCTTTTGTTCTAAAGTTTGTGAAAAAAACTAAGTTTATATTTTGCTGCCCCGGTGGAAATTAAACAGAATTGCTTTCTCCCCCCCAAAAATCAACGAAAGAAAGAGTTTGAAAACTCTACAATGAAGGACAAAATCAAACCCTTGCTAACATAGAAATATTGAATATAGATATATCAAGAATTTTATTTTCCTTAAAACTTCCTAATAAGTTTTAAAATATTTTTCTTTGTTTTCAGTTATTCTTTTTCATTCTTCAGGTGATTCCAAAATCAGGTTCCAGCAAATAATTAATAGCATTAAATTCTTGCTCCTAAAGGCTTAAAGAGATGCTATTTTTAGCATCTTTTACAGTTGCTTTTCACCATTATTAATAGGCATTCTGTGCAAGATTTGTCATCCACTTTGCTTGTCCCTTCCAATTCTATTATATTATCCATGGGATATTGGTTATATATGTTTTGAATTGCATACAAGTAAGGTTTAAGTCATATATTGTTTAGAATCACTGCCTTATAAATAAAAGATGGTCACAGAAAAAAGGACTACTACATCTTATGGATCGCACAGTTTGACTGTGCATAGAATCATTACATAGTCATGCTATATGAACACTGAAAGTTTATCTATATGAGTCACCAAGAGTCATTTTAATAGTAGCAACATAGAAATAGAACTAGAGATGATTGCCTGCCAAAACAAGACATAAAGATAGCCACCCCCCATGGCATCACTCTGCAAAACACTTAATTCCCACATCACTATCTCACTTCTCATCTTTTCATCTTACCTACATCTCCTATTGATTTCTTATGATTTATCAATTGTTATTTGTAATTTATAACTAATGATTGTAACTATGATTTATGATCTATGACCTATTACTTGCTGTTTATATTACACTTGTGAGCTTATGCACCGGCGACAAATTCCTTATGTGTCCAATCACACGGCCAATAAAGAATTAATTCTTTCTTTCTTTCTTTCTTTCTTTCTTTCTTTCTTTCTTTCTTTCTTTCTTTCTTTCTTTCTTTCTTTCTTTCTTTCTTTCTTTCTTTCTTTCTTTCTTCTTTCCTTCAATCCACCCACCCACCCAAACATGCAACAACTTGATGGAATCCACTGCTTAAAATTAATGAACACTGGAAGCAGCAACCCTTCTTTTTAAAGGCAAGCTATATTTGCACGAATCATTTTGAACAGAGGTGGTATTCAGCAGGTTCTGACCAGTTCTGGAGAAGCAGTAATTTTGAGTAGTTCGGCAAATACCACCTCTGACTGGAGATTTTATCTTTCCCTGCCATGCCAACCAAGCCATGCCCACAGAACCAGTAGTAAAAAAATTTAAATCCCACCAATGATTTTGAAGCATGCACATCCCACATCTATCAGGGCAGGAGGGGAGAGGGGCAAAAAATGAAAAGTAAAGCTATTGGTGAATTGAAGACATCATACAGAAATAAGAAACGTGAATCCTTGCATTTGGATAAAATCAACTGAAAAAATGAATACAGACAGCTTTAGTGAAATAGCTCACAGCTGTAACTAGCTATTCATTACATGAATCTTTGAAATATCTAAACCTTACAGGCTTCTCAGAATTAAGAATATTTGGCCCCTAGATAAGATACTAACCTAGAGGAACGTGCTCCTTGTCCTTGAACTCTGACATTAACATCAGATAGGAGGAAAGTGCTGTAAAATAAAATCAGCTTCATATTCTGAAACCCAGAATGGCCCCAGTATGAGCAACTGGAGTCCTGAAAAGCTTGTGGCATGTTAGGTTTGAAAGCATTTCTTTTCTACTAACCAGAATCCAAAACTGCATCCAAGTCTTGGTAACAATATGGAAAGTAAATAACAATCCCAAACAAGTTAATGAAAACATGCAGATCACGGCTTTTGGAACTGTTTTCCTAACACCTTTACCAGGGCTGATAACCAGGAGGGAGTCATTTACATTTTCTTCTGTGTGAGCACACAACATGGTGTGCCTTTGTGTAGGTATGAGCTTTTAACTTTTCCCTGTGTTACATCCATGCATGATGTGTGCATAAGTACAACGTTATATCCATATACAATGTGTGCATAAGTACAATGGGAAGCACAGAACAGGCTGAATACACTCCACTCCCCCTGGGTTACTGGACTAAGAAATATTAAGAAGAGGAGTTAAAATGGATATGTCAGCAACATTTGAAGACATTGTCCGACTTTCCTGTCCTGTATGAATGCTCCTCTACATAGCCTTTGACCAGACCCAACCCATTTCCAAACCAGTCATCTTTTGATTGCTTCTCCATATTAAATTTCATCCCATTCCTAAGCTATTGTGCTGATGACTGGTGAGAGCAACAGATAGAATCCCGAGCCTCATTACACAATTTCCTTCCAATCCAGTGGTTTGGAAAGAGTACATTAGAAATAAAAAGCCAAGCACCAACAAATAAAAAATATCAAAAGCACTCACATCTCTTTCCAGACATCCTAATAAAATAAATTGGCACATTCTGCAAAACACTGTAAAGTCAGTTTGCTGAAAGAAATCCTATTTCCCAGCAAAAAGTTATATCTTTTCAGAATTTATTCTTTCCTATGACATCTTGTTATGACTATTTCAGGGAGCTATATGTGGGATCGGTTTATTCATAACTGCCACCCTGATTATGCTGGATTATTTTCTTTTTGAGCACTGTGCTGTAAAAAGAGTTCTAAAGCTATAACTAGAATTGAAGCGTGCCACTTTTGATATTGGCACTGAAATCACGAATATGTTTTCAAAGTGTATTGAGAAAGTATAGGTTTACTTCTGAAATATGACATCAGAACATTACATGTTTTGAGGAAAGTCCACATTATACTGCTGAAAGAGTGCATTTTATTATTTTATTTTATATTTTAAACATAATCCTGTATTTTTTAATTTTTCCAAGGCCCATCGTTTGGCTTCATAGCCCTCACTCAGTGCAAATTTGGATTATTAAAAAAAAAAATTACAAAATGCAACTCTTGGCCACTGAAAGATTTCAACAAACAGTTGAAAACAAAGAGAAAAATAAAAATATGGACCAATATTTTTGCAACATTAAAGTCAATTAAAAATTGGGTATGGAAGACTTTATAGCACGGGTGTCAAGCTCAAATTCACTGAGAGCCGCATCAAGGATGTGTTTGACCTCAGGGGCTGGGGTGGGGGTGGCCAGGGTGGGTTTGGCCAGCTTGATGTCAGTCATGTCAGGGGTGCCTGTGGCATCTCAAGTGTTCTGCCAGCGAAAACAGGCTCTTGAGCTTCGTTTTCAGCTGCCATAGCCTCCTGCAACCCTCTGCCAGTGAAAAGTGGCATTGGGTTGCAGGAAGTCATGGCAGCCAAAAACGGAACTTGGGAGCCCATTTTCACTGGCAGAAGCACCACAGGCCAGTCTTTTGCTGTTTCCAGAGTGGCCCTGTGGGCCAGATCTAGGTACCCCCTGCATTGAGTTTGACACCCCTGCTTTATAGAAATTACTGCCACCTATGCTGTAGAGACAAAAAAGAAAGAGATCATTGCTTGGATTGATGTCCCTGCATCTGACAAAAAAATGTTTTATAAGCTGCACTGCATTTTCATGACATGGTAACCAATAACTGATTGTTTACTGCGACACTGAAAATAGCAATGGCTGGGTTTTATGTTGCAGTTTATATGTGTCATTCATCATATCAATAATCAGAAGATTCAACTCACAATTATGGGTGGGTGGGTGGGTGGCATATGATAGCATATGTTTAATGAGAATGCAATGCTAGAACTAACACACTTTGCATAGACATCATATTGCAAGCATACAATTGCAGCATTTGACATCAGAGGTTATTGCCCAGTTAAATCAACTGTAGAATATAGAGCAGTTTGGGGAAAGGCTGATGCAATCCCACTTTACCATACAGAAATGCCTGTTCTGAATGGGACAATATGAGGAAAATATTTAAAATTAGAAATTTAGACCAGCCTCTTTTAAACTTTATAAATCTGTATAAGATGTACATTTTTAGTTATACCTTCAACATTTTAGCTAGAAATTACTGCATGCCTATAGTTTAGTTCTGAAATGGCAGAACTGATAAAATGTTAGTATTGACAGACTAAGGAAAGCAAAAAGGTTAAACATTTTCTGGAAAATATAAATTTTCACTATATGTACTATGAATTAAGATGTCTATAATATTTAAATAATACTTCAAGCTCAGGGAATTTTTCGGGGAACCAAATGCATCCCTAAGCATTTTTCCAAAATAACCACTCTGAGTACAAACATTGTTTGACTAAGCTATTAAAAGAAAGTTGATAGAATAATTGCACTGATATTTCTGAAGACATGCATTATATCCCACTTCATAGGCAGGACCCCCCAAAATACCAAGTGGAGATGTCTATGGAGATTCTCAGTCATCCAAGTCATGGTTGTTCCAAAGGTGCTTTTTCAAAAGGCAACTGGACTTTGTCTTTCTTTGAAGACGTTTTGCTTCTCATCCAAGAAGCTTCTTCAGTTGTGACTGATGTTCTGACTCAGAACTGAAAAAGCTTCTTGAATGACAAGTGAAATGTCTTCAACAAAGTCCAGTTGCCTTTTGAAAAAGCATCTTTGAGATTACAACTGAAGATTAGTATTCTACTCTTCTGTATCATTGAATCCATGACTGGAATCCTTCCCTCTTTCTTCTGCCTCAATCTAATTGTCCTATATTTTCTTCACATATTATTATGTTTTCTTGAAATATTTAGAGTTCTATTGTCAGAGAGGTTATGACAAAGCCACCTAAAATAATATTTTCAGTGTTACCATAAACTTTCTTAAAACCAGATTTTCACAATTCAGTAATATGTGCGATGAGCTTTTGTGTATACTAATGTGTCATATAAAATGATTGCTTCAATGAATTTTTTTCCCCGTTATCAGACTTGTCATCAATCTTGTTTAACATCAATATAGTTATAAGCAAACACAATGGAGTATTATTTCTACAGCTGCTACAAACAAAGGAATAAGTGATATGGTGCTGTCACTTGGCAACCATATTGTGAAGAGTAGTTAAAGAATTTTTAATACTGGATCATATAAACCACAGTAATGAAAATTGCTCTGATTTCTGATATCAAACACTTAAAATGTTTCTTCCTCTTGGACATGGATTATATGGATACATTCAAATATCTATCAGATTAAACTTCACTGACATTTAATTAACAATCTTCATTTTGCCTCATCACTTCATATGGCATATATTTTACTGTTGTTTTTGTTCATATCTATGCGTTATTCAGTATTTAATAGCCTTCTAACAAGGTTGTAAAGAGTAACTGTAAAGACTATAATAAAACATCTGCATGCCAAGATAATAATATAGGTTTGCTCTCTAGTGCATGGTAAAATCCAATATCTTGTTCTTTTGGGTATATAGGAAAAAAGAGAATTTTGCAAGAGAGAATATTAATACTATTAATACCAACAAAGCACCATGCAGAACCCCCAAAACATATATTAAAACACATAGTTTCCACTGATTCTAATAGAAAACAGAGGAGCAATATATGAATATAGAAGCAAAATGAATAAAAAATTCTAATCAGATTATTACCGTATATACTCGAGTATAAGTCGACCCGAATATAAGCCGAGGCACCTAATTTTACACAAAAAAACTGGGAAAACTTATTGACTCGAGTATAAGCCGAGGGTGGGAAATGCAGCAGCTACTGGTAAATTTCAAAAATAAAAATAATTAATTTGGGAAACGATCTCACTATCATGAAAGGTTTAATTGATTCACTAACCCAAAAGAAGAAGATGATGATGACAGCGGGAGGCAGGAGTCACTCTCTTCCCCTCCCTCGGAGGCCCCCTGAGTCAGGAGTCACTACCGCCGGCGCGGCCCCAGTCCCGCCGCCTCGGGAAGGGAAAGGCAAAGCGCTTTTTGCCTTTCCCTTCCCGGCTGGGGCTGTTGGGAGTCGCTGCCACCAGAGGCCGCGACTCCACACCATTTTTTTTTTCAGAGGGGAATCTGACTCGAGTATAAGCCGAGGGGGATTTTTTCAGCACAAAAATTGGGCTGAAAAACTAGGCTTATACTCGAGTATATACAGTAATTAATTATACAAGAAAGGTAGTTTAACAAAACTTTGATGTTTTAAATATCCGACTTCGGTTTTAGTATAAGGATGTTAATTTATGATATCTACAAATCATGAAAAAAAAAATAACACTCTGATCAAAACGGCACATTTTCTATATTGTGCTTTCAGCTCTCAAAATTTTGATTAGTATCTAGAGATGCCTTTCTGTTAATGGAAGACCTGTTCACCAAAAGCTATTTTTGATGCAATGAAAAATGTGACATAAAACAAAACAATTCCCAATCCAATGAACATCTGTTTGCATAAACGTATTTCATTAGATGTTATTGGTACTCCGTATGCCACAGCATGCATGTTCTTCATTCCACAAAGGAACTAAAAAAAAAAAAAATAATCTACCAGTCTGAGCTACCAGACCAGCTCAGCAGGAGATACTTAAAGTACTTAGAGATTCATAGAATCAAAGGAGTGGAAGAGGTTTGGAGGTTTCCTAGTCCAGGTCAAAGAAGGGAAGGTTCTGAAACACCAGAGTTGAGGACACTGCTGACAAGATAGGCTGTCATACAGATAGGAAATAGCTAAAATACAAGCATCAGTCTAGCAAAGAGTGCCAATTACAAAGATAACAGAATAATAGAGTTGGAAGGGATCTTGGAGATCTTCTACTCCAATCCCCTGATCAGGCAGGAAACCCTATTCCATTTCAGTCCTATCTCTTATAAACTTCCAGTGTTGGAGGATTCACAACTTCTGGAGGCAAGTTGTTCCACTGATTAATTGTTCTAACTGTCAGGAAATTTCTCCTTAGTTCTAAGTTGCTTCTCTCCTTGATTAGTTTCCATCCATTGCTTCTTGTCCTGCCTTCAGGTGTTTAAAGAATAGGTTAATCCCCTCTTCTTCTTTCTTAAATATGTGTTTATTTTATTCAGAACAAAGTTAAAATAAAAAATAGCAATAGCATTTAGACTTATATACCACTTAACAGTGCTTTATAGCCTTCTTGAAGTGATTTACAGAGTCAGTATACTGCCTCCCAAAAACTAGGTCCTCATTTATCAACCTTAGAAGGATGGAAGACTGAATCAACCTTGACCCTGGTGAGATTTGAGCTGCCAAATTGCAGACAGCCGGCAGTCAGCAGAAGTAGCCTGCAAGTTCTAACCACTGCGCCACCACGGCTCTTAAAAAAAAATACAAAACTAAATAAAAACCCAAGAAGACATGAAAGGAAAAACAATACAAATCAAACAAAACATTTAAAAAGGTGCATCAAAAGTGCATCATGAGGGGTGGTGCAGTGGTTAGAATGCAGTACTGCAGGTTACTTATGCTGACTGCCGGCTGCTGGCAGATCAAATCTCACCAGGGTGAAGGT